GGGCCTGTGTGACCCGACGCGAGCCTGCAACCTCCAAAACCCCACGACAATGAACCGCCTCCGCGCCGTCCATTGCGTAACCACGGCCAGAGCCACAGGATGATGCCAATGGCTGTACCACCCGACGCCATATCGAGACATGCAGCTGCCTGATGCTCCTCCCATGGACCGACCGAGAACGGGACCGGCTACGGCTACGGCGGGCTCATCACTCGGCAGCAGCGCAGGCAACCACGAGACCCGCCTCATGGGTATATAACAGGGCCGCCATATACCCTCCTTACATGGCCTGCGGTTTTGTTTTGTCTTTCATGCGAGCCCTTTCCTGATGCTCACCTCCCTCCCCATGTTTCTGCGCCGCCTCAACCCCTCTCGCTTCCCGCCTACGGCCCTGGACTCGCTCAACCCCTCATCCGTTCTATTGCCCTCGAGCCTGCCAGCCGGCGGCAAGAGGCTTGGAAGCCGCCCAAATCATTGGCGGTTGAGTCGGGAGCTATGAGCCGTCCCTGACCCTGGCATCGGGATCTACTCTTAGTCTGCGAGCTGTGATTCGAAGAGCTAACCACCGCATCGCAATGAATACGCCCGTCGCTCCTGTGACGCTTACTATGGGACGGAGAGGTGTCGACAGACATCGAACAGGTTGCTATTTGATGGTTCCGCCGCAGCCAGCCATACCATCAGCCAGCCTGGCTGCATGCAGCCGAATCCTTTGATACTCGAAAGACCAGGACGCCGGGGTTGAGACTTGCTCACGTCGTACAGCTTGCCCCTTGAATTGCCTGCTGCATGGTTCCGGAGGTTTCTCGCGATATTTCCAAGCCTTGCCATCGTACCGCGCATAAGGGTATTTGGATGGGTCTGACTGGGGCCTCGCTTATGGCCTGATCGACGCAACATGCGACACTAATGACAGCTGAGTGCAGCACCGCTGGCCTTTGCTATCTGGTCGTCTGCATGCACGAGTCTCAAAACAGGTTGTGATGAGATTGTGTCGTTGGTCGCAAATACTGCAGCACTGACTAACTTGCTCGTCCAGGTGCCTTCGTGGTCGTCGGATTTGAAGCCCCGCCTGGCCTCGGGCAACCTTAATCCTTCTTGTCAAACGTGACAGCAGGACCTGAGTGCTGGTTGTGAAGGGATGTGAGTCGACCACGTTTGCAACATGTGGGAGGACAGGCTTCGCGATGTCACCTTCGCAGGGTCATGGAAGACAGAGACCATGTGCGACGCGCGCGGCGAGGTCTGTTGAGTTTGCGTTTCTCGTTTCCTGAGGATACGGCCGCCAGACGGAGCAGTGGACGGTGGAACTCAATGTGAGCATGACCATTGGCGATGGGTCGACGACGTTCATCACTCAACGCCGGTGGTAGATCGTGGGCCGCTATGCTCAATCCCAGCTTCAGGAGTGTGCCGATGGTCCAGCTGGGGAGTTTGACAGCTTGACAGATGGAGACGCTTTCAGCAAACCCACAGCATGGCACGCACCATGGTAGCAAATAAGTGTTGATCAGCGCCGTCTAGTGAAGCTTGCGGCGTCGGGGTTGCCCCGAAGTGCATTGAGTTGGGCAGAAGCACACAGCCCCCTGCTGTCAGCTATGGTCTCGACTCAGTGACGTGTGTTTCGAAGGTTTGCGAGCGGCCAGTATCCGCCGAGGAAGCAATGAGAGTGAAAGAGAAAAAAAAAATTAAAAAAAAATGAGGCGATGCTGCGATGGAGCCGTGGAGCAAAGTGATGGGGGACACCACCTGGAGCATGCCTCTCCAACGTGGGACTCGAATTCGTACCAAAGCGGTCATGGCGGAGCGGGTCGAATTGACTTTGACAATAAGTGGGGGAATGGGGCCGGGCTCGAGCAACAGCAGGTGGGAAAATGGGAAAAAGACCAGGAAGTGTGCTCCGAAAGACGCAAGACGGGAGCGTAGGCTGATCCAAGCTCCCACCCTGTCCAGCACCTTTCCTCCTGAGTTGGAAACAGGTTTTGTCTGTTTCGTCAAAGTCAACCGATGCCGGCCTGAGAGTCTTGACCCGCAAGCAAGTTGGAGGAAGGCCTGAATAAGGTCCTCAGACGCCGTACGTGTGTGATGTGAGGTGTCCTGTGTCCTGTGTCCTGCTCCGGTCCGTGACTTCGGTGCCGAAAGTGCGCATCGGCCGCCGCCAACCTCCTCACCTGCGTTCGGTATGGGGCCAACGTCCAAAAACGGCGCCGTCTCCGGGGGTCAGCCACCATTCCAGCGTTGCATCGCCGAAACGGTATTCCGGGTACTGTGGCCTGACATAGACTGCCCTATGCACCTCTTCCAAGGGCGTCCCTAGGCCTGCATTTGATCGTCCCGGTGCTCCGGACCCGTCACCACCGCCGGAGACCTCAACTTAGCCTTTCCGTCACCTCCGGCCAAAATGTAGCCGACGGCGGGTTCCCCATCCCGACTCCCGACTCCAAGACGGGGTTCCCAGTTTGCCGTCCGATTCTTGAGGATTATCGTATGTTTCGACCGCACCCACCGAGTCAAGCGAGCGCTTGTCGACTTCAAAAGGTCCTCGTGCCCCGTCCTTGACATCGTATTTTGTTTTTTCGACCCCGGCTGGGGTGTTCGGACCTGGAATATATCGATGTAATATGGTTCGTTCGTTGTCCGTGTCTATTTTGCCGCTCTGCCATCCAACAACCCTGATCCTTGACGCTAAGGCCCTCCTGGCGGGGACGACCAGCTTCCCCTTTGATAGTGACATTTTTCTTCTCCATTTCCTGTCAGTTTCCTCTAGAGGCTCAAAACTGGGGTGCGTTGCCGACCTGGTCCTGGGCCGTCTCCGCCGCCTCGTCATCCCCCCGTCCTGGCGGCGCCGAATCCAACGCTCCGCAGCCGTCAAAACGGCAAAGTGGAGGAAGAGGACCTGGCGTCCGTCGTACGATGATTTCGAGTCAGTCGGATCATGTCCAGTCCTATGTTGTAGTGTAGGATGAGATTCCTGGTTGCAGCACGCAATTCGCATGCTGCATCGTGATGAAGCTGGATGGAACCGTGCCGGTGCCAACTCCACGTGTCGTTCCGTTCCCCGGCTCGAGAGATCCGAGCAACCGACGTCTTCGCACTCCCGAAGACGGTTCTGGCCCAAGCCGGCCCCTGGAAGTGCAGGGAGCGGCCGCCAGCAGTCCTCTCCTGCCATGAACACCCAGCCAAAGAACCGTTGCCCCAGTGTGGGTCCGCTCGTTCGATACCTTAATTAGACGAGACACAGGTACGTTGAACGGGAGGTTGCATCTTGGACAAACCATTGGACTACCAGGAACCAGGGCGTTGGGTGACCGTGCCATTGTCCGACCCAGAATAGCTGTCATAATGAGGAACCAAGCATATCACCGCCCCAACTGCCCGACACGTCGGCTCTCAAGGTCAACTGCCGATCGAGAGCGGCGAGACATTGCGATCGCTTGGACCCTCGGCCGGGGTTTTCCCGAGATCCATCCCACGACGGAGAAATGACAGGATACTAGCCCAACTTGGCTTCCCCAAGATCAAAGTTCAGGTCGATGGAGATTCTTCTGGTCGTCACGGTTTGGCCAGTGGGGTTCGACGAGTCGGCCAAGGCCGACAAATGAAGACGAGGACGAAGTATTTGGGTCGGTTACGATACCCGGTGGGAGTCCAGGGTACGGTTAGCTGCGAATTGGTGTACTGGTCGTGGTTTAGCCTCGCCAGCGGATACGGAGTCAAAGTCGGAAGAGGCTCGACCGCCAACGCAGTTATTTGCTCGTGGGGATGGATGAAAACTCTTGCGGTGATGTTGACTTGGTGGAAGGTGCCCTTTTGAAGGATTGGAAGGTACAGATCGATTGGAGCGGCAGTCATGTGTCAATGTCAAAGCACAAAGCACGGATGTGATGACCACCTCTTGCGGAAAGTGAGAATGGCATCGAGGGGCCAGTAGGGCCTTCTTTCCTCATTCCAGTGTCTTTCCGGATGCGGCGTCCCCCACTCCTTCTCTCTTTCCTCGCTGTTCGTCCAATGATCTTATCTAGATTACTCCATGAGACGGTACCCAATGGAGAGGAAGGCCCAGTCTGAGACCATTCGCATGTAGCGCTCAAGTACATCTGCCCAGGTACACAGCTATGGAGTACCTTGTGCACATACACAAGGTACATTGAATAGGTACGCACAGAATAGGTAGCCAGCAACTTTGAGGACTCCAAGGTCTCCAATTGAGCTTTCACTCTTTCCCCAGATGCTCCTTGGAACCCGTCCCTGCGTCTGAGAGCCCTTGACTTCAATTATTATCCGTACTACGAGAGCCCTCGAGGCGTAATTTAGCCCCTATGCGGCAACTAACAGAATCGTCTGCGGTTCAATGTAGTCCAGTCTCACCTGCTATGGTCACGGATGCTGCTGCGGCAGCACTTTCCGCCGTGGTTTTGGTTGTTTCCTTTCGCTGATACTGATGCATTGCGGCTGCTGACTACATTCCGAATCCCCTGAACTTCTTATCTCGCAAAGTACCTGATATTGATGGCTTCCTCTGGTTTCAAGTTTTCGTGCTGCGAATGATGGCAATCACGCAACATGACGTTCTCCAGCAATCGACCCCAATGCCATCGTCACTGCGCCGTGCTATGCTTAGGCTTGGATGATCAATAATAGCCTGCACCGCGTCTTCTCCCGTCTCCTCCGACCCCAGCCAAGTGTCCAGACAGACCAATCGTACTACACGATACGCGAAGTGGACATTTCGGCACACATCGCTTGCCATGCGTGCAACTATCGTCCTTCCCAGGAACGAGTGGGATGGGGCCTTATCAGCACCCCCGTCCCAGGACGAAGTCCGACTACAGAGCATCGTCATTCTCGTCGTTTCAATTGTGTCGATTCTTGGCGCAGGATGGATCATGCTCAGTTTCTGGGTAAGTTAGAAACTGAAATGAAGTCTCTTCAGCTGACAAGCTGCGAAGCTATTTCCAAATCTGCGCTCATTCCGCCACCGTCTTATTCTTGGCCTCGCCATGAGCGACCTCATCATGGCCGTCAACTTCCTCTGCTCCACTGCGATGAATATATCCGGTCGACTTATCGGTGCACCCGAGAATGCCACCTTCTGTAGCTACAACGGCTTCATGACGCAGTTCTTCGTTATACAAACCGACTATTGGGTTCTCACTATTGCCGTTTGCACATATTTCATCCTTGCTGGCCACAAGAGACAATCGACGTGGATTCAAAACCATGAATATCTTATCTGGTCACTCCCCTGGCTTTTCTCAACTATTTGGGCGCTCATCGGCCTCGTCAAAGACGCATACCGCGACATAGGCGCTTGTAAGTCACACCCCTGCGAAGTGTGGCTAGTTTGCAGACTCTAATCCACCATTAGGGTGCTGGTTCGAATCCGATCGGACTCGTCTACTGGTCAACTTCGTCCCACGATGTAAGCGCCCTTTGGTTGTTCACATGGGCTTCAGCTGAAACACATACAGGGGTCATCATAGCCACTATGTTTGTCCTATATGCCTATCTCTACGTCGTTCTTTACAGAGCACATAATGAACTGAGCTCGGTGGTGGACGAGGTGTCCGGGCACACGACCCCTGTCAGAAGCGTTGATACCAGCTTTCAAGACGACAGCTTTGGTGGCGATCGTCAGGCCCGTTCGTCAGCCACGTTGCGAAGACTGAGAAAGGTTTGAGGTCAAAGGTTGCGTAGACGCCAAAGACTGACCGACTAACTCTGTACAGATTGCCCGCTTGATGCTGTTGTACCCTCTCGCATACGCCGTCATCTGGTCACTTCCAACGGCGATTAGAATATACAACTCAACAACGGAAGCTGCAGCACCGTTCGCTCTGCAGACTATCGATAAAGCAAGCATCGTGGTCCAAGGCTTGGTCGACGCGGTTATCTACGGCCTGAATGAGACTTCGTGGTCGAGTTGGCGTGCCCGCTTGTCACGTCATGGGTACCCCACTCTGGCGACGATGAATGCAGACGATGCAAACGAACCACGAGAGAGAGAACGTGAACAGAGATCTTGTCGACCGGCATGCGGAAGAAGAAGAGAGATTACAGAATCGACGGGGTCAGGGCCTTCAACCCTCGTCGAGCCACAAGATGCGATTGAACTAAGAGATTTTACGACCGAGCCGCATCGAAAAGTTATCAGAGAATAAGACAGGGTTGAAATTTATCGGGGCCTCGGAGAGAAGGGTGACACTTCTATCATGGCCCATACATGGGCCACAACCAAGCCTGGCCGGTTTGTTCTTGGAAGGCCCAGACCCAATTTCAGTTCATTAGGTGTTGTTGCTGCACCTTGTTAGACGTAATTGAGCTATTCGGCCCATTGATATACTATTCGACTGCCATTAGCTGGAGAGCAAACACAGAGATACTCGTGAATTCGTCCTTTATCTAGACGTGATATCAACGTTAGATTACTACGTCATGTGGCTCGAAAGCAACCTTCCATCCTAACTACAAGACATGGTCTTCATGAATCATTGACCTTCCCCCTTCCTCTTGATACATCACACACAAATGACTTCTTTAAGCCTTGGTTCCGGAGGTCTCGGCGGCAGAGGTTGCAGGGACGTCCTTGGCCTTGGACTTCTTGGCCAAGCGCAAACCGCCGATGGCCATAACCAGGGCCTCGATGCCGAGCACGACGACAAGGGTGACGAGAGCGCCGATGACACCGGCAACGGGGGTAGAGATGCCGTTGGCGTCCTTGTTGGAGGAGCCGGAGCCGGTGGAGTTTGCGCCGCCGTCCAGACCAAGCGCAGAGGCGCAGGTGCCCGTGGAGTTGCCGCAGGCGGTGCACCAGGCCTTGGTGTCCTTGACGGCGAACTTCTGCATCTCGGTGACGAAGGTGTTCCAGGGGAGGAGCGTCTCGGACTGTCCGAAGAGGGGGTACGCGGTCAGGTTGTTCTGGCCGGCGGGGCCGTTGGCGAAGCGGAAGCGCACCGAGACGTCGTCGGCGGCCGGGGCGGAGGCGGAGGCGTTGGTGACGAGCTCGAAGACCATGGAGGAGGCGTAGTCGACGACCTCGGTGAAGCTGGAGGACGCCTTCTGCAGCTGCGCAAGGCCGAAGAAGGAGGAGAAGGTGGCGTAGGCACCGAACTGGATGTTGGCCTTGGTGGAAGAGGCCTTGGCGGCGTTGGCGAGAGTCGAGTTGAGGGCGACGAGGATCTGGCCGGCCAGGACCTTGCCGGCGATGGCGCGGATGGGGTCGCTCTCGTTGTAGGCCAGGTTCCACTCGTGGACGTCGGCGTAGGTCTTGAGCTGGGCGAGTGTGCTGTTCGTCAGCAGGCTCTCGGAGGAGATGGTGTCGTTGTGGATGGTGGCGACGTTGACGAGGTCGAAGATGGTGTAGGCGTTCTCGAAGATGGCCGTCTTGGAGGAGAAGGTGCCGTTGATGACGGGCAGCAGGCCCTGGTAGAAGTCGGCGGAGGCGTCGCTGTAGTTCTTGTACTCGGGGGAGGAGAAGTAGTTGTTGGAGCTGACAACGGCGTTGCCGCAGCCGCTGCCGCCCTGGAGCCACTCGCTGTTCTCGGCATCCTGGGAGGTGGCGGCGGTGCTGACGGCGTTGACGGGGACGTACTGATAGCCGCCGAGGGGCGCCTCGACGCTGGTGCCGTTGGCGAGGGTGTTGGCCGTGCCGGCGGGAGGGTAGAAGCCCTGCAGCCAGGCGTAGGCGGAGGACTGGAGGACGACGTCGGTGGGGGAGGTGACGGCGAGCTGCTCGGGGCGGACCTCGTCGGTGCTCAGGGAGCGAATCTGCTGGGAGGCGTTGGAGCTGACGTAGCGGGAGCGATAGTAGAGGCCGGAGCTGTAGACCTCGTCGGCGCCGAGGTCAGTGAAGCGGACCGGGGGCCACTTTTTGGCGGTGCGGTCGCCGTGACGGTGGAAGACGTAGATTCCGAGGACCGTCTCGGCGGCGGCCGGGACAATGGGCAGGCCAAGGGCCAACAGGAGCTTGAGTTCCATCTCGGGTGTCTGTGGTTTGGTGTCAGTAAACCATGCGCTGTCCGTCGTCGCATTACCATTGAGAATCAGGAATGTCTGGCTTACGTTGTGTGGTTGATTAGGTTTAGGAATCTAAAGACTTGCGGTCGACACAATAGTACAACACGGTCCCAGCCGGTTCGTTATTCCCGTCTAGGAGAGGAAGACGAAGAATTCTCAAGGTGAGCAAGCGACCTTGGAGATGGAGAGAAAGCCTGGCACGTCCAGGAAAGCGCCCTCCAGCTGCCAGAGCCGGGCATCGCCGACTCTTTAACCATCGCCGACCGTCGGCTTCCGCACCTCATGACTGGCGGAATGCAGGAAAAGAGAGACGGCGAATCCCTGAGGGACCCCTCAGCCCACCACACACCTCTTCTTCCCGAATACCATCTCCATTGCTGCAGCAGTAGCGTGTGTCTCTCCACCAAGGCTTGACCCGCTTCCTAGCTCCGGACCAGTCGATGGTTCGCGATAAAGGAGGGGTAAGAGAAAAGCACCAGCCACGGTGAGTACTTTCGTAGTAATTGCAACTTATCACCGGCCGCGCCCTATCAATTGCAACCAAACAGCCGCGGGAGGAATCTGCGTTCGGGGTCGGGATGGACGTCGGGATGTGCCTGAAGCAGGCAACTCGTGCGTCCAATTAGTCAAATGGCGAAGAGTGTCCCCACACCATCTGCAACCTATCGCCTGCAGGTCGAGGGATGTGGATGCCGGCTTGGCTCAAAGCTTGAGTTGCGCCGCACGCAGCCGGCCTATTCCAGAGCCGCTAATTAATTACCTTAGTTGACGAGGTGACAAAACAAAAAGTTCCCCTAGGCATGCAACCACGAGGGCGCCGCCGCTGCATCTCCGCTCCGCGGCTTTGGGCTGTCGGGCGGTTAAGACAATGCAAGGCGGGAATGCCTCGTGCCGACAGCCGGAGATTGATAAGATTTCATTCTCGGATTGAAACAGCGTGTCTGGAACATTCAATCTGTTTGATTTTCCACAATTCGCAATATCTAACATGTAGGGCGCATCAGCAACCGCCCACGCGACATCAACTTACAATCTTCGAACCCCAGTCTCTCTATCCAATTCCGCGGAGTTGTTGGAGCTGTGTTTTGCAGACCCCACAACCAGAAACCCCCCCCCCCCCCCCCTGCCTCTCAAGCCACCGTCCATCTCACAATTTGGAAGTCGGCTTGCGCCCGCTCTTCACGTGCTTCGAGATCTCGCCTTTGAGCAGGAATTCCGGGTACTTCATGTCTTCATCGGTTCCGACTCCCAGCGCGCTCTGCCGCCTCCACGCGCCACCGTCAACGGGAATCGCCTGGCCGTTGACGAAGCTGCCGGCATCACTGAACAGGTAGACGGTGGAGTCGGCGATATCGCGGATGTAGCCCCACCGGCCCTGGGGAACGACGGCATCGGCCCTCGATTGGTCGGCCTTGGCGCTGGAGAGACGTTCCATGCCCTCCGTGTCCTTGATCGGGCCCGGTGCGATGACATTGCTCGTGACACCATACGGGCCGTACTCCAAACACACGGAACCCATGAGGGCATCAACGGCAGCCTTGGCGGCCGAGACATGCGCTTGCAGTGGCATGCCGGTGTAGTGAAAAGTCGCCGAGACGAAGATGATGCGGCCACCTGTCAGGCCGTCCTTGCTAGGCGTGGGGTTTCTCTTGGCCGACTCAACCAGGTACGGAAGAGTGGCTTTGAGGGTGTTGAAAGTTCCCAGCACGTCAATGTCCATGACAGCCTTGAAGGCGTTGGGGCTCATGGTGGACAAGGGTGCAATGAAGTTGCCGGCAGCGCCTGCACTACTGGGCCGTCAGTCTCGGAGCCGGATCGGACCCATTGAAAAGCGGCACTTACATGACAAAGTCGATGCTGCCGAGCTCCTTGGCACATCTGTCGGCCGCGTCCTGCAGGTTCTGAGGCTGAACGGCGATATGTCAGTTTCCGATGTCTCTACGGGGGCGGCTGGTGCAGCGTTGCATACATTCCGGACGTCGCATCCACCGATGCCGATGACCTTGGCGCCTGGTCTCGCAGTGGCCAGGTCCTTGGCCATGGACTCTGTCTTTTCGACATTTCTGCCAATGATACACGCATTCGCTCCGAGGCGGACAAGAGCGCGGGTTTGGGCGCTGCAAATGGTTCCAGCACCGCCGGTGACAAAGGCAACTCTGTCATCTGGAGACACACGTGAGTCTCACCGGTGTTCTTGAGCAACAACGGTACCACGGGTAAACGTACTGAAAATTCCGTCCTTCCATACCGGACTCAGGTACTCGGACTCGGGAATAGGCATGATGGCAGAGTGTGTTTGTGGAGAACAACGTGTGAGGGTGACGATGCGGTCTATTCCCAGACAAACACGGCGCGGTGGATCTGCTTCCCACGGGATTGGTGAGGTAAGGCGGAATAAGCGTGAGAATACGACGACGACGATTCCGACTACAGGCCTCTGTGGATCCAATGGCTGCACAAATGCCGGATGGTATGCCGATCTATGTGGCACAAGAAAAAAGAAACGAAAAAAAAGGTCCGGCAGGAGTAGCGGTTGCTTTTGGGTGTCGGACGGCAGAGTGCAGCTCAGATCGCGGACGGTAGTGACGCGACGAACCTCGGTAAGGTCGGCGAACGGAGCCTGCCGCACGGTGAGAGCAATAGTGATTAGTCGACGGGTGTGCTTATGTCAGCTTTCTGCCAACCGACGGGCCAAGGAACCCAGGTCGAATTAGCGGAACTGCACCTCACTCAGCCAGCGTGCCACGGCTGATTGGCGGGCATGGAATACAGCGCGGAACAGTGCTGGGTGAGCTTGCCTAGGCTCATCGCTGAGCTCCTGAACGGACCACAACACCTTCTTCACCTTACCCCCTCCTACCCCAGACGGACGCTAATTTAGCGCCCATCATCCCCGGAGCTGTCTCCTTATCCCCTGACGAACATCGAATCGAAGAAATAGAGTGCCTCACACTTCTTCAAAAGGAATTGAGGGCCTATGTGAGCAGCACCCTAAGAAAACAACTCTACTGGATCACTCGCTTTCGTGTAAACAGCTTTCGCTTGCCTCGAATTGGCCTGCGTTCCCTGTGCTGGAACAACTCCTTTTCCCGTGGGGTTTGGACTGTACTTTCACTGCCATCGTCCAGCGACTCGACTTATTGTCAGCGTTAAACGACGCATGTTTCCAAACCCCTCACGCACACACAGAATCACATAGATGCAGGATGTAGTCCGTCTTTATGGAACAATGATACACCACCTAGAAGAATAAGCAGGGACTTTGATCACAATCGACATCCCAACCCCTGAGTCGGGATGTAGCCTTGGCTGGGCAGCCCAGATGCGCCAACAACAATACCCACCTCGTTGTTGAATCTATCAAATCAAAGCTTTCCAGGCCCTCGACTGATATGGATATTTTCCAAAGGAGTAAATGGAACCCGAGAGCGCAGTGTGCCAATGCTACCAACGTGCATATTTTCTTCTGGGCGAGGAGAGGGGTAACATCTGTGGCTCTTGGACAGATAAATGACACCACGCCCGTCAAACCTCAGGCAAGATTCATCATCTCTCTAGGAACTCTATGACACCCAAACGCCCATGATGTGCCAAAATTCTCCGGTTAACGAAGGTTCGGTCATTGCCCCTGGCGAGAATGTAAGACCAAATCGAACAGAACCTTTCAAGATTCATCTCATAGGGATTATAGGACACGGTTGACACCACATCGGACCTCGCTGTCGTAGGTCTAATTTGTCTCGCTCAAACATACAAATAAGCTGCTCAATACCGTCTCAGAGTGTTGCGTCGTCAACCACTAGTATTGCTAGTTCGGTACTCAGGTTTCGCATCGAGAATGGGAGAATCTATCACTCATACAAGGAGGGCAGTAAGTGAAGCTATCAACCAGCTAGATGTATGACATAAACGTGGACTTACGTGCGTAGAATACAGCTATCCCAATGACCAAAAAGAGAACGAAAGACTCGGTATGCTCTAATCCTGCTGTTCAAAAACCGAGCTTGTCTCACAGCTTCTCTAGATCTGCAACACAACCTGATGCTTCTCACCTTGCACGAGAAGTTGGGCCTCGCCCCGCCTAACGACCAGGATTTCAGGGTCAAGCGTGTGCTCGATGTTGGAACTGGCACCGGACTCTGGGCAATCGACTTCGCTGACGAGCACCCCGACGCAGAAGTAGGTGAATCCTGCAAGCCATAAATACTCGAACGCTCACACGTGCCACAGGTTCTCGGGACAGATCTCTCTCCAGTTCAGACAACACAGTGAGTACAACATATTAGGAATTCAGCTGCTGCCACTGCTGTAGCTTACGTTTGAAAGTGTTCCGCCCAACGCCAAATTCGAGATTGACGACGTGGAAGAACCCTGGACGTACAGTCAACCTTTCGATTATATCCATGTCCGCGGGATGACATCGAGCATTTCGGACTGGAAGAAGTTTTTTAGTCAATGTTTTGCGTAAGCGTCCCACCTCCAGGTAGCGTCGATTTGGCTAAACAGAGAGACCAGGAACCTCGAGCCCGGTGGGTATCTTGAGCTTCAAGAAGGTCACATGCGACCTGAGTGCGACGATGGAACTCTCACACGTGAGCATGCTATTTCAAAGTGGGTAGATTACTTGGAGCAAGCAAGCGCCAAATTCAACCGCCCTTTCGTAGACTGCCCTAGTCTGGTGAAAGTCGTTGAAGAAGCAGGCTTCGTTGACGTGAAGTTAACGAAATTCAAATGGCCTCTTAATCCATGGGCTACAGACAATCATCATAAGCTCCTCGGCGAATGGACTGAGGAGAACTTCATGGAGGGTATCGAGGCTTGGACCCTTGCTCCATTGACCAGGGCTCTGGAATGGACGAGAGAGGAAGTCTTGGTCTTCCTGACACAGGTGCGGAAAGAACTGAGGGACAGAAGCATACATGCATACCTCCCCATGTGAGTTGGAACCTTCCGTCTTCATGTTTGACAGCAAAACTGACAGTGCCAGTTTCGTGATTCATGGAAGAAAGCCTCTCCAGGCAGGCGACGAAGGGGAGCAGTGACGAAGAGAAGCATTGAGGAAGATAAATAGTGAGGTCCAACATGAGAACGACAGCCAGAAGGAATTCTATCGCATGTTCTTAGACAGATTATTTGTGTTCTCCATCTAACAAGTCCTGGAGATCATTTCATCGGCGATGAGTCGGGATTCCGGTGATAGATAACACAATTTATGTATGTTATGCAGCGTAACTTGTGCACGATTCGCAACCTCGGTGCAAGTTGAAGTGCGAGCAGAAAGCACGGATAATTTTAAGCTCAGCTTACCCCATATGATAGACCCACATAAGGTACCCATCCAAAGCAGCCAACCAAATCGAAGCAAAACAACCAAAACAGCCCCTCTCTTCTGTACCTATTCCCGCGCAAGCGGCAAGCGGCAAGGCGGGAACGTCGTCAGAGAGCGTCAGTCAATCAATCATTCCGACCCAACCCCATCCCCAAACCGAGACCTTTCACTCGTGCCGTGCCTTACTTTCCCTCGACACCCAAGTGGTCAGGTCCCAAGCCAAGGTAAGATCAGGTTCAACAAAGGGTCGCACCAGAACCCCCTCCATCAGCGACCAACCGACGACTACCATCCAGCAAGCCGTCAGATTTCGATTTCTGCGGCGACACTTCGACTCTTGCATCCACATCATCATCGCACTTGTCTCCAACCTCCCCTCATTCTTCCCCGAGCCTTCACCCCCCGCCACCATGACTTCTAAAGGAGTCTCGCTCCTGAAGTTCGTGGGAACTGTTTCCCTCGGTCTTCTGACTGTACGTCGCTGCCCCTGCTCTCTCTCTGTCTCCCCCGCTCGAACGCACCGACCCGGCCTGTCGTCGGATCACCAGTGACGCCACTATTCCCATCCCCTCCACCTCCCCGCACTCGCATCCTGAACCCCGGCACAATTTGACAATGCATTCCCTTGCTCATAGTCTTCCATTTACGACCCAAACATCGCATCGCATCGAAAAGCTGACTTTTTTATTCAACAGGGCCTCTCCTACTCCCTCTCGACTGTGACCGTCCCCTCGATCCTCTCCCTCCCCTCCGCATCCGACGCCCTCCGAGCCTTCCAGAACCTCTACCCCAGCGCGAACACCCGTTTGCGCATTCTCACCGGAGTGTCCACCGCCTCGTTTCTCTTCGCCTTCTTCCTCTCCCCGCGCGCCTTCCGTCACCCCTACCTCGTCTACGCTTCCGTCCTCTGCCTCGCCTCCGGTGCCGCCGAGCAAATCACACCCTATGTCCTGAGCTCTCCCGAGTCCTCCTCGGAGGCCATCGCCGCTCGTCGCCAGGCCCGCCGTGAGCGTGAGGACGCCCGCAAGGCCGCTCGCATCGCGCGCCAGGAGGCCCGTATGGAGGCTAGCTACGAGGTCCTTGGCGACACCCACAGCGACGCCGCGAGCGACGGCGAAGCTGCCGCCGCTGCCGCTTTTGCCGAGGAGGAGGAGAACTTCAACGGAGAGGAGATCCGCGTCGTGGTTGATGGCTTCAGGAAGACCCAGATTGTGCAGACAGCCATCGCCTCGGTCGGTTTCCTGATGTCCGTCATCGGCATCTGGGGCGACGGCGCCATTCAGGTCTTCCAGACCGAGACCGTTATTGTCGGTGTATAAGAGGCGTTGATGGCCTAAGAGATATGATTATTGCAAGATTGTTTGCGTATAGGAGTCATGATATTGAGGGGGGCTGGGAACACGATGCTACATCACTACCACTGTCTACGAGGCACTGTCGAACTCGTCATATATTCTTCCTTACTCACCCCGACTAATTAGAGTCGGATAACTGGAAAAAATAGACCACCGAAGCTAAAACGAGTTTAAACTCGCCTTTACAATGCTCACCTAGGTCACATGACAAGTCGATGTCGATGCTGATGCACGGCATGATTGATTCATTCATTACGCTGTATTGGGATAAGTAAACCGTGGCTAGGCATGTGATACTAATCCTACTACGCTAGGCCAGAGTTTGCGATGCATTCACTGTCCAAAGGTGTCGAGACTTTCAAGCCTGATGACTTCCTAAGACTTGAGTCTCTCGCTTCCGGCCATGTCATCCTGTGCATCCTTAATCAAGAACCTGCAAGGTCGTTAACACAGTGCCCTGGATCAGGTCGATGAGGCCGAACTTACCTATACATCAGTATCGTTGGCGGGATGGTGCCCAGATGCCAAAGACTATGCGCGTCAAGAGCGCCAAGTAAAGGCGGAAAGTCGAACAACTCGAGACTCATGACAGTGACGATAATGGCGACGACGATACTCGGCCAGATAGCCCACACCCTGCGCGTTTGCCTGTACTTGTTGTAACTGAACCACAGCCACATCAGGTTCTGGATCACTCCGACGACAACGTTTGCCGCCATGTTGTAGGTATAATCCCAGCGCACACCCTTTAGGTACGCAACGTGCCCCGCATACAGCAAGACGCACAGCAGAGTCCACGCCCTCAGAACGGACCGTCTCCGCGGCGTCGGGCGGTCTAGACGCATGACGCGCACCACGGTGTAGTATAGCCCATAGAGCACGTTGGCGCCGGCGGCAAAATAGTCAAGCTGCTCCGTCGCAGCAAAGTCGCGCGTGTGGAAAATGGCGCTGAAGGTCCACGAAGCCACTCCGACGGCCGCGAGCCAGGTGTACCAGGGCATCAGCGGGTAAGAGGCCGGGACGGCAGCGCGGAACTTGCGCAGGCCGTCATAGTGAGCCCAGAGGTTTCCCAAGCTGAATATCGTGCTGAAGGGCTCCTGGCATCCGAGGAAGCGGTGGAAGGGCCACTTTCCGTGGAACTGGACGACGCGCTCGCCGGCGGCAACGCGCTTCTTGGTTATGATGTGCTGGCAGGTGTAGTCGCATTCGGAGGAGCATGTCCAGAGGAGGAGACGACGGTGGAGGGCTGCAAGACGGGAAAGGTTGGTTAGCTTCATGCGTTTGGTGTTCCAAGGGGGTCAGCAAAGGGGGACGTAGGCGACGTACGGATCGGGGTAGCATCTTTGCCTGGAGCGCAGTTCTCATCGTGGCAGACCTGGATCGCGGGGAAACGAGGAAGAGAGTGTCAGCCTATGGAAGTCGTAGACCATGCTTTGGGGGTCATCTCGCGCGCGGGTGTGGTGGCACCAACTTGGACGCATTCGCGGAACTCTGGCATGCGGTCGCCGTATGAAGCCTCGACGGTTGTCGCGAAGACGAGGAGGGCGGCGAAGACGGCTAGGAACAGAGGAGACCGTGATCGTCTCCCCGCTCGTGGAAACTTCATGGCGCGGGCATTTATCGATTCGTCGTCTCGTTGCTGATGTTGTTGTCGTCCCTCGCAGTCAGTGTCGCGTGAGGCGGGTGCGGGAGGGTTAAAGTCAGAGACTGCTGAGGTGGTACGGGTTTCTTGGATTGCTACGGGACACAAGGGTTCGGAGGTCTCGGGCGCTTGCTGCCTTGCTTGTCACTGCTCGAATGGAGGACCGGTCATTTGCTGGCGGGGAATTTGCATGTGTGATTGGCTTGATTTTCTGGGGCATTCCAAGACGTGGGTTCAGCTTAATTATCCGATCTCTTTTCCAGGGGCTCCCAGACTTTACCTTTTCATCATTTGTTTTTTTACGTCTGGCGATGCATCGGGGATTGGGTGACTGCAGCTGATAGATCGCACCGGTTTTTAATTCCTGAATAGGTCCTTTTTCTGCGGATGGATGTAGAGGTCAGCCCCTCTGCCACTTCACCGTCCCAGATGGGCTTGGGCCAGAAAGCTCTGGTCGTTGTGAAGTCCCTGCCATGATGCTTGGAATGCAGTCTAATATTGTCGAACCCCCCACCGCCTTTGGGCCCAACTAATGTCGATGAGGGCGAGCAACAACTCGATAATCCAAGCAGAAGCGTGCTCCATGAGGGAGACACAGTTGGACTGCACAAACCGCAGAATGTCAAGGTTCGCAGACGGGCTGGTTCGCCATGCTCGGATCTGGATAGCCAAGACTTGGACGAGGAGTGTCGTTTTAGTGGTAAAAGAAATACGCGAATCTTCTCTCTTGAATCTCTTCTCTGAAACATTTTGAGAGAGATCTTTTCCCAAAGCTATGCCCCTTGTAATAATCCTGCGAAGCTGTATCCGTACAACAGAACGTCATGGCTTGCGGGTGGGACAGGAAGGGCAGTGGGCCGAAAAGAAAACACGCGATGGCAAATCTGTGTTCACAACGGCAAAACAAAACTAGTATATCGTCGGTATGGAGAGGTTGAAAACCCCTCTCGGGTATCATAACTTTTAATCCCTATGAACAGCTCTAATGCTTCGGCTCATCGCCGTTGCCAAAGCACGCGCAGCATCAAGCAATCAATAATGACCTGAGCACTGCTTGCAGCCAACGGAGTTTTTCTTTCCTTCATGTCCCAAACAACTTTTCGTCTATTTACCCCTCTCTATTCCACTTCGGATTCGAACATGGACTTGAATGTAACCATTTGTTCATAATACTCTCGATCCAGGGGGCTGGTGGTTTGGGCGCTGAAGCCCTCTTGGTAGCGCATTAGAACACCATAAGCTCGGAGGAATGGGTGCTTGTAAGCATCAAAATTGATGACCACCGGCGTGAAGAGCTCAGGGAAAGTAGCGCAGTCCAGGAATGCCGGGTTGCGGTGGCACTTCTCCTGGATTTGGGAAGCCCTCACATGCTCCAGGTGGCGTACAACTTCCAGTTGAAGTTTGTTCGGTTTCGTGTCCGAGCTGAAATCTCCCGATAGCCATTCTTTGGCGAATTCATCAGCCTTACGCCTTCGGATATAGCTGATGAACTCCTGTTCGAATTCAGGCGACCATTTGCCCTCGCCTATGAATGCATGACGGCCCTCCCTCGTGGAGAAACGTCGATCAAACATCTTCAGGACAGCGCTTTTGGGGATATCCGGGGGTCCATTGGAAATATAGACTTCCATGACGTTCCAAGTGTGTGAATGGAAGACTCGCTGGATGATCAACGTCATTGCCTGTGGGACTTGACGGTCGTCTTTCTCGAGCCTGTGGACATAGATGACGTTGCCGCGATAGTAAGGAGAACTGTGAATGTCAGCCGGGTGCGGTTGGTCGTAGATGTTTCTTGTTGCTTACTGGGAGTATGCTATTCGGATCCAGTCCACGACACTGTCGAAGGCACATCTAAGTCTATGAAGTATGCGCTGAATGGCTCCTAGGACGTGTTCGATTCCAGAGCGAAGAGACATGGCGATCTTGGATCCGAAATAAGAACTCCAATTGCAATTTGTTGATGTTTATAAGGAAAGTTTCTGTGCTGGGGTTTGAAGCACTGCTAATGGCGAATCGATGCATAAGAAGGTAGCATCGTTGATGAAGTGGGATGGAAAAAAGATCGTTGCCAGGAAGCGTGGATGTACCTTCAAAGTGGGTCCACCATGTTGAGCCTACCCGATTTGGCAATCAGCTAAAGCTCCAGTGGGTACCTGCCTACAAGAAGGTGTGGCGCTAGCAACCGACTCCTTCCAACAGGTCGTCTCGGCGAGTACTGCTGTAAGTGGCTTCGGTGAATGCAAGGCTGCTACGTTCGAGGATACGAGTTGAAAGATGGCAGGAATAAGGGGGCGTTCTAGCAATGGTCGACCTTTCTTGTCACTTTCACTTACAGAACCCTTGAGGTTAGCGGAAGTGCGTCTCAGTTGCACAGCTGTGGGAAGCATTCACACCCTCGATAAAGGTTGATATGCTTCTGATAAACCAAATTTCTGGCTATATAAACGGATGGGAATATGTTTCGGTTCCGACTCTAGGTACTGATTCAGTGTTTTTGCAATTTCTAGCCCGACTTAACCCAGCCGCACAGATACCCGGCAACGCACGCCATCCCTTCCGCATAAGGTTTCATCACGCGAGACGGAAACTCTTCTGACGGGTGCGAATTCGCAACTTCTACTAGACCTATATTCAACTCTGCTACAAAAAGAAGAAGGTCACAGGCTCGGAGAGCTTTCAGATGAGACCCGTCCCAGCTATCCCGCTCGTCGGAGGCTGGCACGAGGTCCAAGTAGGAGATATCAGATCGCTAGTTTGCCACGGACCGACCAAAAGTGGTTTTGGTTATGCATGTAGGGTCCTGCTAACTTGGTAGAGAAGAAAGTCGCTCTCTCTGGCCAGTTCACTCCGGCACCTGAAACCAGACGTCTGGGCGCCAGCTATTGACTACATAGTAAATACAGCCACATCTGACATGACGTAGATGTAAATCCAAGTATATTCATCCAGTAAATGTATCATGACAGTCTTCAGGGGGTTCTCTAGAACAAAAGCGACTTCAAGGTTGCTATCGACATCTACCCAAGAAGAAACGTCAGAAACATAGCTTGCTCATGCATCCATCAAGTCTCCAGAACCCCTCCCTCATCCTTGGAGGCCCTGCAAAATTCTCTCCGGCATCGAATATTCTTCTGCAGCGGCTGAATTGGAAAGGCAGACTGGCATTGAGCACGGCCTAAATATCACCACTGCTCTCGAGGACTTCATTTATCAGCATCGCCAACGCAGCGCATCAAAGTAACCGTAATGTTCAACTCTCATTCAACTTGAAAGCTGGAAAGTCTGGTTTGTTGCCAGGCTAAGAAAATCCCGAATCCTCCCAACGCCATGCCCTCAGACACATCATATATGCCCCAAATATACCCCAAAAACCCGTAGTATACACAAAGAAACTTTTTCGTCATCACCCCAAGCCTTACCAGAAATACGGCGGCGGTATCGCCAGCATCCAAGTGTCAAGCCACCTCGACGCCGCGAATCCCGCAATGAACCCTCCCATCGCAATCGAAAACATGACGGCAGCCGTCAAGCTCGGGCTGACGTCGTGATCCAACCACGTCTTCCTGAACCTCAGCTTGCCCACCCTCATGTGGAACATCTCCTCCACGTCGACTATCCCGCGGTAGTTCGGCTTCAGCTCGGTTGAGTCGCGCTCCGTAAAGTGTTTTCTCTGCACCCTTCATCGTCGTGTCAAAGGATCAGCCCTCGCTTTTAGCCCCGTCTGGTCAGTCTCTTCAGCACTGGGGGTTTTGGAGAAACAGGGGAACGGCAAAAAAGAAACTTACAGCAAAGTAAGGCAGATGTCACCTTGCAACCTCGCCTTCAGCTCGAGCTCGGCGTCGAGGTTCAGGCCGATTTGTAGCCGTGCGGGCTTGGACTCGGAGAGGCGCGGAATTACGGTGGGAGCAGGGAGGGTTCCCTTTGGCTGGGCGACTTGCTTGTTGCGGTTGCGGCGGCGGCGACGGCGCGTGCTGCCATCCGAGGAGACGCTTGAAGCGCCGCCGATACTGGACGCAGAGTCGTCTACTACATTCTGGGCCTGAGGAAAGTTTAGTTGGAAGGTTTTCTCTTGAGTTGAGGGGTTCTACCCTCTCGGTGATGTTGCTACCTTTGTGCTCGTCTTTGTGTCTATTGAGATGTTGCAGGGAGCCATTTTTTCTGCTTCGGAGTCCTTCTTCTGGGCGCGGGAGGGGATATAGTATGGAATCATCGATCGTCTGAAGACAGAATTGGGTTGCAAGACTTGTTGGCGGTCTTGCCTTTGGTTTCGATTATGTGTCTAGAGGGACTTTGATGCTGCAAGTCTTTCTCGGATATCATTTCAGAACAGAGTTGAAGAGAAAGCAATCTTCGAACAACGAGAGCATCTTCCCAGGGGTTGGGATGACAACTCTCCTATATACCCTCCCCAGATCCCCCGACTCGCCGCACCCGCAAAAACCACCAACCACCACCACCCTGGCAACTTCTGAAATCTGTTTCCGAAATCCAGCACTCCGTGAAATGCCCACCTGTCCAAATCATCCCAAAAAGTTTCCGAGACTCATCCCACTTACACGGACCCCTTCGAAGCCCCTTCGTTGCAGCGTCACGTGATGGGTCGATGGTGGAGTAAAACGGATGGAAACCTCGTACGATGCCGTTCAACGCTGAAACGGTAATGCAACCTCGACGTCGCTCATCACTCAGCGTGTCAGACAAGGGGGAGCCAGACTCCGATGTTCTGGCCTCCCACGGCCCGCCTTTGCTAATGCGGATTCCTGTCGCTGGGTGCAGGGCATACTACCGGGGATTTCACCGTCCTTCAAAAGAGCCTCTCAGAACCCCCGGTACCCATGCTACGCCCCCACTTCACTTATTTCGGTAAGCCTATACCTGCGAAGCGGGTGCTCACCACCTATATAATCAAACTATCTAAATAATTAATTAAAGCTATATTAATCTATTAATAACGTTATAGGGTATGTAGTTTCTTTCCTTCTTTATAAATTATAACTAGAAGTATCTTACAAGCTAATCTTTATACTTTAGCCTTTTTTATAGTATTAGAAAATACTAGTTTAGCTAGATTTTTATACCTATCCTATATAGATATAAATATAGCGTTAATCTAACTACTCTTATTAAATCCTTTTACTATAGCTATTACTTAGCTTCATACTATAGCTAATATATTTCTTAACTATAATCTCCTATTTTTACTAGCTTAATGTATATAGTAAACCTTCTCTATAGCTTATATTTAGCTAAAGTTATCTCTAGTATAAACCAGCTAAGCTACCTATATAAAGGTATTCTTTATAAAATAGTCTATATTATATATAAAGTTAAAGATCTTTTTAGTAATATTATTAGTTTAGTTATATATTTTTAATATAAACCTTATAAAGTTCTAATATATTATATTAATCTTCTAGTAAGTTATTAGAGTTCTAAATAGTAATAACTAAAGTTTATCTCTAAGTTTTAGAGTTACTAATAGAGATAGTATTACTTAGTAAATAATAATCTTACTAAGTATTTTTAGAGAGTTATATAAATAAATATTAATCTCTCTAAAGCTAGATATAATAGTAGAAAGCTTAAATACTTATTCTCTAACTCTTTAAATTATAGCTAGGAACTCTAGTTTAGTAATATAAGTATAGCTCTCTTAGATAATAGTTTTAAATACTTTTAAGTAACTATATATATATAATATTATGTTATTAATTAAGTAATAAAGATATCTTAATAGTTTTTTAGTATTAAATTATATATAACTAAGCTATTATAATTAGTTATTAAAAACCCATAAATATTAATATTAATATATAATATTAGTTATATATAATATTATAGCAAAAACGTAGTATAATTTATAGTATGTAGTATACTATATACTACTACTATAGTAGTATATAGTATAGTTATAATATTGATTTTTCTAATATAGTATACTATATATTATAACTATATATAGTCCTATAGTACTATAGTATATAGTAGTTAATACTCTAGTTAATACCTATTTATAGTAGCGTTTTACTAGAGGTAAGGTTAGCAGCTTTATATAGTAGTAGATTTACTATATCTAAGAGGACCTCTTAGCGTATATAAAACCTTATATACTTAAGTTAATTAATATATATATATAGTGCTTCTTTTTAAGGTATATCTAGTTTAGTTTTGCCATTTGCTTGTTTAATAAGTAAAGGTTAACCTCTTAATTAATAATATAGCTGCTAATATAGTGTCTTGAATATCTTAGCTGCTTAGGTTTAATAAGTTATTAAAAAGGTAGAATTTTTGCCTATAGTAGTAATAATATCTTATATATGGTTTTCAGCCTATTAATTATATTTTAGTATTAATTTAGATTTTCTAGGATTTTTTTTGTTAAGATATTGTGGGTTAATTAATTGTGTAGATGGTTTGATTGTATAAGTAGTAAGCAGAGATTGTCCAAAAAATATAATATAAATACATCCCCTTATATTGTTAAATCTACTAATATAGGTATTTTTAAGCACTTAGTATGGCTATTATATAAAGTAGATATACTATAATTATCTATCAAAAGGCGCTATTCTTAAGTGTAGGATCCACTTTTATAGCCCCTAGTCTGCTATAGTTATCGCTGCTTATATAA